TGAAAAAGAAAATGAAGACGACAATGAAAAAAATAAAAAAATATCTAAAGAAGTAGATGATTCTTTAGAAAAAGAATCACTTAGTATTGTGGATAATATATTAGAAAATGATCTTCAAAAAATGCAAAAAAAACGAAAGCAATCAACAGTAAAGGAAATAATTAATCCTATATTTGAAAACGATTCTCAATTGAATAAAAATAATACAGAAATAGTAAAGAAAACTGAATATTTTGTTCCTTTTATTAATAGTGATGATAATGAAACAAAAGAAATAGATAAGACAAAAAAAAAGAAAAAGAAAACACATGATATTAATATACATATAAAAAAAAATATATTCGATATTGAAACAAAATCTGAAGATCTTAATGAAAAAATGTACAATGAAGTAAAAAAGAAGACAAAAAAAGAAAATAAAGTTGATTATATTTCAAATTTGACAAGTATAAATAACATTAACATAAAGGGAAAAAAGGAAATAGTTTCAGATATACTATTAAATAGTAATATTACAAATAAACAAATTTCTAAGAAAAAAAACAAAAAGGAAACATATGATATTAATGGACAAATGAAAGAAGAAATAATTATTGAAGATATTCAAAATAAATCGAAAAATCTTGATGAAGGAATACACAATGAAGTAAATAAAAAAAAGAAAAAAAAAAATACACTTGAAAACATTTCAGATTCATTAAATGTAAATAAAGAAAATAATATAACAAAGAAAGAAGAGCAAGTGTCAGACATTTTACCGAAAAATAATATTTTAAATGTGCAATTATCTAAGAATAAGAATAAGAAAAAAAAAACACATGATACTGATGTACAAATAAAAGAACAAATATTTAAAGATATTGAAGTAAAATCAAAAAATCTTGATAAAGAAATAAGAAAAAAGAAAAAAAAAATTAGAATAGAAAATATTTCTAATCATAATTTATCAAATATAGATAAAGACATTAATATAGTAAATGAAAAGGAGGAATATATTCTGTCAAATAATAATATTTCAAATGAATTGTTATCTGAAGAAAAGAAAAGAAAACAAAAGAAGTTATTAAAAGAAGTTGCTTTACAAGACAAAGAAGAATTATTTGAAAAAATACCACAAAAAAAACAAAAATTATTATTAAAAAATACTTCAATGTCTAATACAATACAAAAACGAAAGCAATCAGAAACTTATGAATCCAAACCTAGTAAAAAAAGAAAGATATTTGTAGAACAGGATTTTAGTTTACCAAGTAATTCTGGAAGTACTACTGATTTTGATGTCATTGATATACAAAAGATTAGAAACAAAAAAAATATTTCATTTCGAGATAGAATGCTTGCTAGAAATTCAAGACAATCTGTGTCTATTTACATGAAATATTTAAAAAAACAGAAAATGAAATCTTCTGTTAATAATTTTATGTTTCATTAAATTTATTATATCATTCTTTAGCTGTAGTAATGATATAATTAAAAATTTGAAAAAATCATTGTCATTTTTATTCATAAAATATTGTAAATGCATTGTAAGATTATTTTCAATTTGACATTTTGACGTGAATTTTTTATGCACTTTTTAATTATATATAGCATTTAGAATATTTTCTTTTATAAATATTTTTTTTAAATTATATTTTTTTAAATTATAGAATAATTAAGATATTTTTAACCATATAGAAGATTTATGAAAAGTAAACTTTCTATATATTCTAATGCTTTTTTTTTTATTATATTTTTATCAATTTAAAACTAAAAATCATTTTAATATCATTATATTAATTATTTGTTATTAAGTCCTGATGCATACATATGACATAACATCAATATGATAATATTGTGTGATTTGGCAAATTTATATTGCTAATGATATAATGCATACGATAGTATGAATCTATTATAAAAACATAACATATACATTATATTAACATATATATTATAAAAACATAACATATAAAACATATTTTTGCATTATGAATCTATAATTTTACTTGTTTATTATCATACTTATTGTCCATAAATTGTGATATTTGCAATTACGTAATTTATTATTAATATGAAATAATGTACATCTTGTAATATAAAGTATAATTGTTAAAATATGATATAAATGTTTAACTTTTTTTACTTTATTATAATCGATATATAATAAATTAAATTGTAAATAAAATAATATGGATAATATTTTTTTATTTCTAAATCCTAACTTTATTATTTTTCATATTATTTTATTTAGACCCATAAAAATAATTAGTTTTTAAATATTTAATAAAAAATAATTATAATCTAATTAAATTTAACATAAAGAAATAATTTAATTTAGTGTTTATAATTTCATAAATTCAATAGAACTTATACTTATAAAAATATTATTAAATTTACAAGGAATAAAAAAGTTTATTAATAATACAATATTTGTACATGTCTATAAAATAATAATTATCGAATGCAAATTAATCGTTAAGAGACTTTTTAGTTTTTTGCATATCTCTTTACAATTCATAATATTACTAGAATTATACATCTTTAATAATTTCCTTTTAAATTAATATACAATTGCAAATTTCTTTATTTTCAAGCACCTACTATACAATCTTCAGATATTTCTTTTTTTAAATTCAAAAAACAAGCACCATTTGCTGCGTTATTTTCTCCCGGAAATATAACGCAAGCTAAACCATTCACTGCCATATGCTGCCATAATTTATGTATCCATTTATTTACAGTACGAAAAGTCTTTTCTATTTGATCATATTTTAATTTTTCTTGATTTATTCTAATATGACACAAAGTAAAAGCATGTTCCATGGCTATCTGTGAAGCTCGAAGTACAGCTTGTTTATCATTATCTGCTACTACAAGACGTACCTATAAATAATATAATATAATATATAATATAATAATAATTACCGATAAATAAAATTTAATCTTAAAGCAATAAAACATACTTGATCATTTTCATTGAAATTTTCATCGTCCATAATATTGAGAGAACAAGTTAAATATTTAGAATATTCATTCATAACTTCCCCAATACCCACAATGGCAGCAGATTTTTTATCTTTTGTTACATGTTTGAAGATTGAAGTTGCATACTTCCGTATTTCAGTTTTAAATGATTGTTGATCGTTCGTTCTCTTTTCTGCTTCCATTTTTAATACATTCATATTGCATTGACCAAGTAACACAGCATCTCCATAATCCAAACTATTTGCTAACTTTAATTGTACTAATTTCATAGAAGCCTGTGAATCTTCAGTAGGACAATGACCAGATTTATTTTCTTGTATTCTTTCACCAAGGAATTCTTTTACTAAAGTTTGTAATTTCGTTTTTCTATATCTATAATTGAATATTAAAATATTTATTTTTATATTTATTATAATATATAAATGAAAATTGAAAATATTTTATATATAATAAACTATAATACAAAAAGAAAAGAACATTATACCTGTCACCAGTAATGTTAAATATTACGGATGTATCGATAATATATGGATGCATCATTTTTAATGTATGAAGGTCGGAATTTAAGCTTTGTCCTACAAGAATTGCATCTGTAGGTAGTAATTTTCGCAATGTTTGTTGAACATCCGATAATGTAGTTCTAACACCATCCAACATATTTTTTGTTATACCGCTGAAGCGTGTGAGATAGTCTGTTATAGGATTATCCGGCTTTACCAGACTATTATAAATAATCTGCGATAGAATTTAATAGAATTTGTATACCCTCTTTATAATAATTGTAAAATTGAACTTACTTTCATACTTTCATCCACAAGAGATATTCTTGTTAATTCCAATTCTCCAGTAGTCGTTTTGCACATTTCACAATCTAAACCAAACATTGGTGATTTTGCATTAACTTCTACATAAACATCTTTTGTCATTATATAATTTTCATACCTAAATATTAGAAAATTATTTATTGAATTTCAATAATTCATAATCAATAATATTCATAATATTCATATTTTTACTATTATTACTTCTTTGCTAATTCTCCTTTCAATGGAACAGGATAATTTTCTTCTACCATTTGACATAATGATAAGAGTAATTGTGTACGAGGAAATTTATCTGTAGGAGGTAATTCAGATCCTGTTTTAAATTTTTCAGCACTTGTTGATAAATTTTCATACATCGGAAAAACAGTCCGTAATAATTTTATTACATCACTGTTACTTTGTAATGCAGCTTCTAATGATCCATATTCTGTAATAATTTTAAAATATATTATTTACTTGAAAATTTTTTATTATGATATAATAAAACAAATTTTAATAAAACTTTAAAATGCATATACGTTTAATTAATTTATCGCTTTGTATTCCAGTTATAGGAACAGCTGCAAGATCCTCTATTACTGATCCTCCATATGCTGTAGGTGTTACAATTTCTACACGATGTTCCAATTTTGATGTTATATAAGGAAACATGCTTTCATAAGCCATAAAATGATATAAAGAAAGTCCTTCAACAACAAAGACCACAGTATGTGTGACCTTTTTAAAAATTCGTCAATAAGTAATGATATTTCAAATAATTTTTCAATATATAATTACCTTATTATATTTTTCAAGCTGACACCATCTTGTTGGTACATACGGTGAATGATGACCATGTAATGAATACAACAATAAATGTTGCACATCACTAAGAAAAATAGGAATTCTATTTTCACTTTTAACATTAATACTTAAACTAGCACTTTCACCAACTGCTTTTAATTGAAATCGAGGTATTTTTGTAAGTTGCTTTTTACGTTCTCGTAATTCGTGTTTCAATTTTAAATAGTCATCTCCGCTTAATCTATATTATTAAAAAAATGCAATATATATTTTTATATATCATATTAATATAATATTAATCATTAATATATATAATAATATATATTATTATTTACAAACCTAGGCTTTTTGTTAGCAAGAGCATCTGATTCTTCAGTACCTTCTATATTTTTCTTTTTAGTAGTATGTTCTAGAAATGTTTCTTTCAAATCTTCATCACATGGACGTTTACGTTTGACATTTTCCTCCATGGAAACATCACTGTTATCTGTATCATTTGACTGATCAGCTTCTGTAGACTGAAATAATATTTATCATATGGAATTACAAGAAAAGTAATATGATTGAAATGAGTATACTAACAGTTTTCTTAAGAACATGCATTTTAGCTTTTCTATCTTTATCATTTAATTTAGTTATTTCCAGAAGTGCAGCCATTTTCTTTTTCTTTTTTTCTATTCTTTGTAATTGTTTTGTCGTTAAATTCTTCATAATATTTTCTTTTTTTACGTTTTTTGAAAAAAATTAAAGTTAATCACCTATAAAAAATCAAATAAGAATAAACTTGATATAAATTAATAATTTTAATTTTTTTAAAGTTTTATTATATATTTATATTTTATTTTAAAATGTAATATTAATAAAAAATTATTATTTTTAAATATAAATATTAATAAAAAAAAATATTAATTTAATTGATATAGAGATGCAAAACTCAAAGAAAAAAAAATTAAAGCATAAATTTAAATAATACATATTTTTAAAAGAAATTCATATTTTATAGAGGAAAATAAATTAATTATTATAATTACATAATTAATATATAATATGATAAAGTGTTTATTTACATTTTTTTGATAAGATATATAAATGAGGTTATATATAACATTTAGTTTTGACTAAAAATAGATTTTTAATTACATTTACCTGAAAATTGAAGAAAAGAGAAAAATATTTGTATGTTGAATAATGACAGAGAAATGTTATACATTTCTGTATAAGAAATGTAGAAATGAGGGTTGGATATAACCCTTGACAAATAAATACATTTGTTTATATAAAAATTCAGAAACACAGTTCTTGAATTTCATGTGAAAAAAGTTTACACAATAATCTTTCAATTTGATATTCACTATAAGAATGTACCTATAATAAGTTTTATCGTTTTTCTCCCCATTACTTGGTTACCATCCATTGTTAAATACTAAATGCCACTTGATAAATGGTACAGCATATGTTTTATATATATTAGTATATAAAATATATATAAAGTGATAGTTCAAAAGTGTCTTTAATTTATTTCAATTTAATAAATAAATCAATGCATATATTTAAGCAAAATAGTGAAATATACATCTTGCCGACTTTCATAATTGTGCAATTTTTTAAATTGATTTATACGAAATGAATCGTAAAATGAATTTTCGGATAAAAGAAAATAAAATTATGAATCATATTATAAGTAATTTAATTTTTAATATATTTCTAAATAGAAAATTTGTTATAAAAAATAATAAAAACATATTACCATTGTTGATCATATATCATATATAAGGTTATGTTTTTGTTGGATCCTTTCTTCTGAGAAAAATAAAAATTCCTATAAAAGTAATGTACGATAGAAACCAGATTACAGTTTTTTAGTCTCGATTAAATCATAAATAAATATTTTAAATAATATTTAAACTTTTATGTACCATATTTAACAAATTTTAAAAGACACGTTATTTTCTTTACACAACTTGTTGACACTAGAGGTCAGCATTTAACAATTACAACGAAATATTAAAGAATTAAATAGATTAATTTTT